ATAACCCAGTTGCAATCGGGGGAAAGACTTAAGTAGATACTATACAAGTGACCTAGATTATACACAAGTGACCAACAAGCATATGAAAAGATGTATCACATACATTACCTATCGTATAAAAAAATACAAATTGAAACGACCGGGAGTGTCACCTCATACTCATTAGGATGGTCACCATCAAAAGAACAGAAAATAATAGGTACTGGGGAGGATGTGGAGAAACTGGAATCCTTGGGCATCACTGGTGAGCGTATAACACAGTGCAGATACTGTGGGAAATGTTATGGAGATCACCTGAAAAAGATAAACAGATTGTCTTATGGTCCAGCAATCTCAGCTCCGAGTATATATCCCAAGGAATTCAAACTGAGATCTTAGGGAGATACTTAGACATCCATATTCATTGCAACACAGTAATAATAGCCAAAAGGTGAAAGCAATCTAAATGTTCATCAACAGATGAATGTGTAAAGAATGATTTGTGCATATATTATTATGTATCCTTATAATAGAAGAAAGAAAATCCATGTACTATATGGAGGGACCTGGAAGTCATTGTGCTAAGTAAAATAATCCAATTGCAAAAAGACAAATACTATATTGTTCTACTCATATAAAATATCTCAATATTTGAATTCATAGAGACAGAAAATAATAAATTGGTTGCCAATGGCTGGGGGAGGGGGAAGGAGAAATTAGTGTTTAGGAGGTGTGCTCTTTCAGTTGTCCACGATGAAAACGTTTCAGAGATTGGTTGCACGGCAGTGTGAATATCTCTCACACCATGGAACTAACTGTACACTTAGAGATGACTGAGATTACAAATTTAAGATTGTGTTTTTTTAACCAGAAAACTCCAAATGTAGATATAAAATCCAAATTATTCAAATTAATAGTACACTAAAAAAAAATCTAATAAAACTAATATGCTGTGGAATTTAAATTTATGAATTGATGGCTTGGAGGTTAATGCAGCTGGATCCCATATGCCCAATTGTGCAGTTTGTCATGGGTCTACTGGCTTGAAAAACACGCATGACGTGTGTGCGTACATCTCCCAAATCCTGAGAGGAGAATGGAGGAATAGGGATTGTAGTGTGACCATCCTCCCTGGAGGTGCTTTCTCACTTTCTCTCTCTCTCTCTCTCTCTGTCTCTCAAGTGAGTACATAAATCCTATAGCAAAAAGACTAAAAAACCAAAAAACCTTATGAAGTGTTTGTTTCTGTAATTTTCCATTTAATATTTTCACATTATGATTGACCACAGGTACTGAGACTGTTGAAAGCAAAACCATGAGTTGGGGAAGGAAGAGGGAACTACTGTAAACAGATATACTTAAATCTGGGGAAAAGATAAAAACATTGGAGTAGATAAACATTGAGAAAGTGAAAGATAAATGCTGAATGAAACAAGGGGGAAAAGAGCAGTACCTGGAAATCAAGATCTGGAATAGGGATTGTGAGAGCGGAAGATGGCTGGGATTTTTTTTTTTTTAAACGAGCTTTCTCCATCTGTTTTAAAAAATTACATGCACTTAATATTGCAATACTTGATTTCTCTCCCAGGGTCAAGGTCAAGGAGAGGGTTTCAAAGCAAAGGAAGAAAAGACAACTCTCCCACAGGGCATGATAATGGCCTATAACAGGATGAAGCTGATCATCAGGGAGAAAGGTGGGAGTGAGCAGAGGCTGAAGCAGGTAGGGAGTGGGAGGGGGGTGTCTGCTTCTCCTGAGAAGAGAAAGAAGAGGAGAAAGACCATTGATAGGCAGCCTTTGCTGGTTTGTCTGTCCAGATAAATGGATGACAACTTTTCTCAGTGTTTGGAGCACATGCATCGTGCTAGTGGCCACGCTCTCAGCTCTCTCTTTCCCCGCCTGCAAAGTCTGGCCCTAATCCCAAGTATCTCTAGCCATGAAAGAAAGGTCTTGTCACTCTCTGCAGCTCACCTGAGGAAGCCATGCAGCCCTTGCCAGGTTACCCTTAATCCTACATTAAAGCCCCACAAGGTCACAATGGCACCATCACAAGCAGAATTGCAGACATAATACCCTTATATTCTTTTTTTTTTTTTTTTGAGATATTTTTGCTATAGGGGCCGTGCAGCTGGGGATGGCCACGCCGCAATCTCTTCTCCTTCACTCTACTCTTGGGATTTTGGGCATGCACGCACACGCGCCCGGTGTGAGTTTAAGCCACCAGATCCGGAACGCGAACCGCGGTTGATTACGTGGGAGTCCAGCGACATAGCCATTACACCAACTGCTGGTCCCCACCGACATAATACCCTAAGAACACAATACAGAATTGTATCTACTTCTCTCTCTCCTTCACTAGTCTCAGAATACACAGACCCCCAACTTACAACTCTAGGTTTAGACTCCACGTGGACAGACTATCTGTGTCATTTGCACACAGAGAACGATCAGCTGTGCCCAAGCAGCTCTCTAATGAGTAGGAGCAAAGATGAAATTCACACTGTAGATAGAGGTCAGAAACTCCTACTGAGAGCACCAGGAGATGACATTGCTATTGAAGGTCAAGGTGAATCACAAAATGCTTTTAGTTTAGGGAGAGAAAGAAAAGGAGCCTCATTTTCAACAAATACCATCATCATCATTATAAAAATCCAAAGAACTTCAAAAAGTAAAAAGAAATGAACCAATAAAAGGAGACCTCATAGAGCACAATGTTGTAGAATCCAGAGAAAATCAGGTTGACGTTCATTGGTGACTGAGCCAGGTGAACTCAGGGAGCACAGCCCTCAGTGGAGTGGCTGAGGTGTGAATGCCAGGGGAGCGAGTGAGGATACAGAGTGTGGATGGCTTTTTCAGGAAGTTGGCTGTGCAGGGAAAGTGAGCGGGAGTGGTGATAACTGTAGGTGGATTCTGGGTGAAGGACTTTATATGGTGGCAGGGAACAGAGCTTACTTCAGGCCAGGGGAAGGAAACAGGTGAGAGGGTGGGGGTACATTGCTTCTTGCATTACCAGATATTCACCTCCATTCCTCACATCAGCCAGAGTGAGATGTGGCTGAGCCTCCTTGGGATTCTGCTTTTCTCTGAACTTATCAGTGAGGGCTATGGCCAACTATTAAACATTTGCTCTTTCTGTTTTGTCAGGATTAGTTGTCCATCTAAGTCAAGGGCCTGAGTTGTGTAAACAGAGATGCCTCACCCTACCCACCCCCTAGGATGTGACTTTCAGGAACCACTGTGAGGTTAGCTTTTCTTCCAACTTCACTCAGTTCACACTTTCCTACATTTAGAAAACCTTTTTGTCTTCCTCATGGGCTCTTTTACTCTGCCAGACACATAGTTGGTGTCAGGCTAGGATCATCACCCAGGGAGAACGCCAACTTGGGAGTTGATAAGGGCCAGACAGGAGACAAAAGGCAGCAGGATGACACTGAAAATCCTGCAGGACCAGGGTGAGAGGAGGCCTGATCTCTTTTCCTTACAAAGGAAATTCTAGCATATTAGAGGACACAATCATTTCCCACGGTGGATATCTTCCAAGGACATTCAGGTTCCAGGGCATCCTGCAAAGAGTGACTGAGACGTGCTTTTATGAAACTCTTGGTGTTTCTTTGTCTACTCTGTTGGTACTACTGTTTCCTGCAGCCCTTGAGGCACAGACAGAAGCACACGAGGAAGGTATTCCCCAGCCCGAGTCTCATAGTCAGGGTCAGGTTGCAGGCAGGGCTTTAATGACACAGCCACAACTGTGATATTTTCATTTTATTTTAGGACTTACAAACCTTGGGGTGGGGTGGAGGGTGTAACACAGTATGCCTGTGAGTTGAGAAGTGCAGGCAGGGAGACAGCTGAAGGTGTGACCACTAGAGTTCATATTGGGGAATAGAGGGTGGGTTACTGAGTTCACCAGCAAACACCTGAATGGTTAGTCTAAAATAATGGGGAAGTGAGGAGTGCAGTCCACTGGACTGGAGAGAACTCTCAGTTCTTATGTCTGGCCCACTGCTGAGCTTTTTGCATTGGGGATAGTTTTGGAAACTGGATCAAGAGTGAATGAGCCCTGTTTGTGGCTTCCATTTAAAAATGAGTGCTGAGACAACATAAACTGTACATAACCACAGGAAGTTATGACATTAGGTCAGTGATAGTTTTAACAAGCAACCCAATAGGTTTTGATCCTGGTGACTCCAAGTTACAGATGCAGGGCTTAGAGAAGACTGCAGAATAAACTCAGCTCTAACTCTGCTTTATTTCTACACAGCCATTACGGTCATCCCAGCTGATGCTAAGGAGAAAACCTTTGAACGTGAGTTCCAGAAACGGGCAGTTTCTCTGCCTCTACCTTGGCCCTACAGAGTCCTTACCCTATTTAGATGTTTGTAAGAGCCCCACTGGGGGATCACCCTTCGTTGAATCCATAGGAAAACCTTCCCCTCCCAGGTTCCTCCATGGCCTGCCATTCTCCCCAGCCTTTGACCATCTACAGTCCATAGGGCCACAGGGAACATGAGCTCTCTCCTTTGAAAACTGGAGCTGCTGTGGGTTTGTGGGGGAAGGAGAGTCTACTGGGGTTTCATGGGGCTGATGATATCTCTCAGCTGCACTGGTGGTACCAGGTGAGAAATCAGGGGAGGAAGGGAGTAGTGAGGAAGGTGAGACCAAGAGAGGAAGATGGGAAGGAGGCTAACTCTTAGTAAGTCCACACTTCTCTTTCTCTTTACAGGTAAATTCTTTGGGATGAGTTTAAAAATATGTGAGTGGGTGATTATGAAGCCAGGAAAGAAGAATTGGATCTCTCCCCAGACCACTCTGCCAAAACGAAAACCTTCTTGATTGCCTTTGCTGCCAGTACCAAGGCCTTGGGATCTGGGGCCCTGGGCAAAGGGTCGGGGTAGATGGAGAGGAGGGGGTCAAGGAAAGCAGGGGCAGAAGGCTGGAGAAACTATGTCTTTTAGATGAATTATTTAGTGGGGATTTCAATTTCTTTTCTTTTCTTTTTTCTTTTTTTGGTGGGGGGCATTCCATGAAAGCTCCCATCTACCTGAGCAGTTACATCTGCCCGATAGGTGAGTATGAGTTTGGTGGAGGTGGGAATGGGATTCCATCTTGTACACATTGAGCAAACAGGACAAATTGCCCCTGTTTTTTCCACCACAGCCTTAGAAGTGACTGCTAGATGTTGTGGAATGGGAATGGTCTAGGAGGCCAAGGAGGCTGAGGGATAAACTGACATGGGGGCAGGAAGAGCTTAAGCAAGAGGGAGGATGTAGTAGCAAGTCAGAACCCTCTAAAGTATCTCAAACACAAATCTGGGGAGATGGTCATTTGTGATTCTCTTTCTAGGAAGAATAGAAGAGCCCTTTTGGCAAGGTGAGTGTTTGTTAAGAAGAAAACTGGGCTTCTGGATGGGAAACTGCTAGCTGAGCTCCTATATTGGTGGCTTCAGGCAAGTCAGAAAACTGACATATACTTCCAAATTTACACTTTGTTCAGCCCCACTTATTTCATTCATTCCAACATGTATACAACACTGAGGATCTCCTGGGCAGCGGGAGTTATCCTGCACACCGACGATGCAGCACTGAACCAAACAGAAATGCTGGCCTCTCAGGAGCTGCCTATCTAGTGATCTTGCACTCTCGGCAGATCACCCTAGGCACCCGCAGCCTTCTGGAAGATGCAGAGAGCTCCCAACATCCACCTCTTGGTTAGTTCTTCATAGACATTGAAATACAGGCACAAGTGGATGATAGTAAGGAGAGCCCATACGTCCCAAGTGCCTGATATCCATAAACTCATTTATTCCTCATAATATCCTCATTCAAGACATATGGAAATTAATCCTAGAGCACCTAAACTTTTCATCTCTGGAACCCAACATCAGTTTTCACAGTATTCCTCACATGTCCCAGAAATGACTGCTTAGTCATTTTCTCCCACATGCAATAACTCTTTTCAGGACTGCCATCTCTGCTCACCGTATTCTATTCCTTCCCCTTCTTTCAGGTCCCAGAGATTGTCCATCTTTTTAGCCCCTGCGACCTGTCCCCAGAGTTTCACTATGCCATTAGTAGAGATGTTCTTGGTCAGCAGCTTAAAGAAACAGAGGTGCTGGGCTGGTGAGGGACTTATCATCTCCAGGATGTTCTAATCAGATGTTATTTTCATTTTCTGATCGGTGTTGATATCTGAGGGCAGATTTCAAACAACTGCAAGGGGAGGTTTCCTGGAAAATGGACATCCTGGCCCAGTTTTCAAAAGTTGTTCAAGATGTCCTGTTCTATAATATCCTGGATATGCTTGAGAACAGAGAGGCTCTGTACCGCCTGATGGCCATGGTAAGTGGGCTGCACAGTGGTGATCAAAGATGTAAAGAAGAAAGTCTTTTTTTTTCCTTAAGAATCATTTATTTAATTTCATTTATCATCATCATCCTTATTATTCAATTTGAGTAGAGAGAGACAGAGAGAAAGTAAGTCATAAGGTCCAGGACTTGAACTGCAGTAAGTCATATGGGAGTCCAGTGCCTTAACCTCTATATCACCTGCCAGTCCCATAAAGGGGAATGTCTAGGAAAAATGGCTTCCAAGATTTAGGGGGAAGGAGGAATAAGCAAGATTTCAAAGGAATGAGGAGGATGTCAGACACTGGGAATTCTGGTTCCAAGCACAGTGACCAGGGCCTGGGAGTTTGGTCCCCACTATATAGAGGGAGTTTGTAATACCCTAGGGGAGGCAGAGAACACTTAACCTCAACCCCAATGGTTAGCCACCTATAAACACAGAAGACACAGGCATTATGATGCTGTTATCACTAATCATATATTATGATGCTGTTATCACTAATCATACTTGTCACCTACAGCTGGAACTGAAAAGCTCAGAGAGTTTGGATGGCCCTGCTGGCAGGATCCTAAATGAAATACGAAAAGACTCAGAATGGCAATGGAGCTACACAGATACCATTCTTTATCTCCTTCAAGCCATACTGGGTAAGAGTGATTTGGTGAAGAGTGAGAGTCACAAGGTTGATGCCCAGATCCTCTGCAAAGACTGCACATGTCACCTCTCCAAAGTCCTTCAAATGTTGCAATCATCCTCACATCACACGCTCACCAGGGTCAGGAGGGCTATCTGTGATAAGTCTCCACACAACCATATAAGTCTTCCAGACCAACCTGAGGCCTAGAAAGTTGCTAACCTCAGGTCTCATCTCCTAGACCATGTTATTTATCATCCTGGGAACATTCTAAGAGCAGAAGGGGGACTTTCCAGGGAAGGGAGCTCGGGCTTCAGGTGTACTAGGGTTTGTTCTGCCTCAGAGCTCTCCTCTCAGAGGCTCTCCTGATTAATGGGAGAAGAAAGCCTGGGTTCTTCATCACTTTATTTCCTGTTGTCTTCCCTCCCCCCAGTACTGAGTGACACTCAGCTTGACCTGCTGGCCCAGTCCATGAAGAAGAGGATCCTGCTCCACCAGCAGGAGTTGGTGAGAAATCCCCAGGGACCAGAAGTCCAGGGAAGAGGCTGAGGGAACTGGGTATAAAAATGATTCTGAGTGGAAAATGACACAGACTTGCCCTGAGAGGGAAGGTCTGATCCCAGTGTGGCCATTGGAAATGTCCAGCTACAACCTTCCTCTGTAGAACAGGCCTATTGGCTATGAATTTACCTTAGAGACCTCAGTTTCCCTGGAAGTGAGTCCCATCAGGCCCAAAATCTCAGAGAATAAGATTCCTACTTTAATTCATAGTATCTATTTGCAAATTGCTCTCTCTTTCTGCATATTTATGTATCTATAAATACATATGTTTATATAGACATATATAGATAGAAACCCAACGATTTACCACTATTATGCAGGGTAAGCTTTGTTACCATTTAAAGATAAAGAACCAATGCTCCATAATTTCCAATTGCTTGATCATACTGATCATAAGATGTGATCAGGACATGACTCCTGTTCCCTTAACACAAAGCACTTGCCCCTCCCATTATCATCAAGACCTCTGACCCTTGAGATAGAAGTTCTCTTCCTGATTGCAAAGACTGTTCTGAACTGTCTTGTAATCTTCTTTTAGGTAAGAAGCATCCTGGAACCCAACTTCAAATATCCCTGGTTCCTTCCTTTCACCCTCAAACCCGAGCTCCTCAGTCCACTGCAGGGTGAGGGGCTGGTCATCACCTATGGCCTGTTGGAGGAGTGTGGCCTGAAGATGGAGATGAATAACCCCAAGTCTACCTGGGATCTAGAAGCCAAGGTGCCCTTGTCGGCCCTCTATGGGACTCTCTTGTTGTTGCAGCAGCTGGCTGAGGCCTAAACCTTCCCTGGTAGGCAGGCCAGGAAGGCCTGGCCTCACTCCCATCTGTGCTGTGAGCACCCTCTGTAGGCTCAAGGAACAGGGCCTCAGCTCTCAGTTTTCCCAGATAGCGTAGAGATGAATAGGTAGAGACTTTAGGGAATTATCTAGATGATGAAAAATACTCTATATTTTCATAAAGGTTTATATGCCTGTTAGAACTCCTTAAATAGTATGTGAAAGAGCTGAGCATTTCACTATGTAAATTTTACTTTAAACTAACATAAACAAATACATACTTTAGTCAATAGTGCATTTTGAATAATTTTGGGTGAAGTGTATTGATGACAGTAACCTACTTTGAAATGCATCTCTTTTAGTTCTTTGTGTTGTGAATAACAGAGACACTGGATTCTAGGACATTTAAAAATAATAGAGATGTATTCCTCTCACTGTTTGGAGGGCCAAGGTCCAGGGATTGCATCTGGTGAAGGCTTTCTCGGTGAGGGGAGTCCTGAGGCAGTACAGGGTATCACATGGCAAGATGCAATGAGAGCACACATGTGTCTGTGTCCCCTTAAAGCCCATGAATGTTTAATTATGGGGTCCCATCATGACACCTAATTACTTCCCAAAGGCCTTGCTTTTCAACACCATTATTGGATTAAGTCTTCCTCAACATCTATTTTTTTGGAGAGTTTTTCGCTATAGGGCGCGTGTGCTCGCCAGACAGACAGAGAGAGACAAAGAGACAGAAAGCGAGAAATCACCCCTCAGGGGGGATGGCCATGCTGCAATCCCTTCTCCTCCATTCTCCTCTCGGGATCTTGGGCACATACGCACATGCGCCCAGTGTGAGTTTTAAGCCACTGGGTCCCGGACGCGAACTGCGGTTGACTACGTGGGAGTCCAGCGACATAGCCATTACGCTAACTGCTGGTCCCTCCTCAACATCTTTACAGTGGCACACCAGATTTCCATACATGAATTTCGGGAGACACATTCAAACATAGAAGTATTCAAAAATAAGTTGGGTTCATGATAGAGAGACAGATATGTGGTTAAAAAAATGTGATAAACCATTAACAATTGGGGAACATGGGTGAAGTACATAGAATTATTTGATTCTTTAAATATTTTTAAAATTAATTTTATTATCATAATCTTGTTTATATTACATCGCATGACATATAACTTTACAGTGTATTACATTTGTTTTTCCAGAAGGAATACCATGCATATCAGTCAATACAAAGAGATGATAATTCCCATTATCATCATCCAACAGCTTTTCATTATTTTCCAGATCATTACTATTATTATTCCAATTATTTTTTTCAAGCCTTCAGTCACTATTTATCATTGTGCTTGTAAAAAGACTTTACCCAACATGAAATACTTCTCAGACCAGTCCAGTTGAGAATACCATACATGTCACCATCAACAGGTAATAAACCATATCTGTGTCCTACCAATGTCATTCCTCTCTGTTTATTCTCCTGCTATTCTTGTCCATACTCTTCTCCTGCCCTGTTCCACACTGTCTTATCATCGCTGTTTTCACTGCTTTTATGCCCTCCAATATTTTGCTCTCTACCATAAAGTGCTGATAGTCGGTATATATTAGATGGATACATACAATAACTTTCTTTTATATCCTGTCTTTTTTCACTCCGCAATAGAGCCTCCATAAGAGTTAAAAAACAGCTAAGAAAATGGGTGGCTTAATGGTAGGGACAAGTCCAGAGTTAAACATTATCTTCCAGAATTTAAATGGAAAGTTTGGACCAAGACAGAAATTAGATTAAGTGCATGAGACTGAGCTGATGAAATAGAATTTTATGGCATTTGACCAAAACAATACTGATCTTTTTCTATGCATTGTAGTCCAGAGATAAGGATTTTTTTTTTCTTCTCTTGAATTGTTGACAGATTCAGGTAACTACTATTTGAGCAGAATCCTAACCTGCTTCCTGGCTTTAAGTCTTAAGCAAGGTTCTCTTAACATTTTTTGACTTTGATTTATTAAAGCTAAAACTACCTTTCTTGAAATAAAAAAAACATATTAAAAAATACCTATTTAGTGACCAGCAGTTAGTGTAATTGTTATGTTGCTGGATTCCCATGTAGTCGACCGGTCGAGTTCCAGACTCGGTGGCTTAAACTCACGCGGGGCCCGAGAGTGTGTGTGCCCAAGATCCCAAGAGGAGAATGGAAGAGAAGGGATTGTAGTGTGGCCATCTCCCCAGGGGGTGATTTCTCGCTTTCTGTCTCTCCATCTCTTTCTGTTTGTCTGGTGAGCACACGTGCACACCTGTCCTATACCAAAAACCTCCCCAAAAAAAAAAAAAAAAGCCTATTTAATGACCACAGTAAGCTTTATAGCCTCAGCTAGGTGCTATTTTATAATATATTCATTCTACTCACAGTTTCATGCCTAAAATCAAACATTTGTTTACAGATATTTATATATCAGCTGAACTTGCAAGTGAATGTAGTTAGATTAGTTAAATAAGATATTTTGTTAACCAATAACATGTGGGAGAAAAAAAAAAGGAATGGAAAGCAACCTGTGATGGAAACATGTAAGATTAAGCCACTATACAGTGTATTTTGGCTGGGAAACTGCATCTTGTATGCTGTGATAATGTTCAGTGAATGCATAGTAAATAATTTAAGAAACAAAACAAAAACAAAATAAATAAAACAGACATTTAGTGTATTCACAATGTCATGAAAAATTACCTTTAACTTGCTCCAAAACATTTCATCAACCCCAAAAGGGACCTCAAACTTATGGGAACCAGCAGTTAGCGTAATGGCTATGTCGCTGGACTCCCACGTAGTCGACCGTGGTTTGAGTCCCGAACCTGGTGGCTTAAAACTCACGCTGGGTGCGTGTGCGTGCGTGCCCAAGATCCCGAGAGGAGAATGGAGGAGAAGGGATTGCGGCGTGACCATCCCCCCTGGGGGATGATTTCTCGCTTTCTATCTCTATGTCTCTCTCTGTCTGTCTGGCGAGCGCACGCGCCCTATAGCGGGGAAAAAAAAACAACTTATTACATAATCATTGCCTATTCTCTACTCCCCCAAGATCTTGACAACTACCACTGTACTTTTGGTTTCTATGGATTCATCTGTTCTGGATATTTTACATACATGGAATCACACGATATTTAAACCTTTCTCCCTGACTTCTTTCACTTAGTATAATGTACTTGAGGTTCACCCATATTCATAATCCTTTCTATTCCTTTGTAGGAATAATATTCCAGTATATGATATACTACATTTTGCTTATCCATTCATCAGTTAGTGAGTATTTAGGATGTTTCTCCCTTTTGGCTTTGTGTGATTGCCTGTTTTTAATTCTTTTGGGTATATACCTAAGAGTGAAATTGTTGGGTCTTATGGTAATTCTTTGTTTAGCTTTCTGAGGAACATATTCATATTTTTGTGTTTAAGTTTTCAATCCATCTGTAAAGTTAAGCTTTAAATGGACTATTTCCAAATCATCGATTGCACATAAATCATTTATTAAATAAGTCATTCCTTATTGTACAAAAAAGAAAAAAAGAAATTACCCCCCAGGGGGATGATCACACCATAATCCCTTTTCCTCCACTCTCCTTTTGGGATTTTGGACATGCATGCACACGCACTTAGTACGACTTTAAGCCACTGGGTCTGGGACTTGAACTATGGTTGGCGATGTGGGAGTCTAGTACCTTAACCACTATGCCCCAAGCTTTTTGATCTCTGCATTATTGACATTTGGGCACATACTTTGTTTTGTTTGGATCTGTCCTGTGTAATATAGGATACTTTGCAGTGTTTTGTGTCACTAGATGCTCGTAGCACAGTGGGGACAGCTGAGTATGTTTCTGGGCATTAAAACATCTCCTGGGATACAAATTGCCTCGAGGGAAGAACCACTGATTTTAGTGGTTGGAGAAATAGAAAGGGGCATGAGTTCTCAAGAAGATCATGAGAAAGTTCTAACCACCTTAGGTATAAAAAAAAAAATTACTGTGTTGGTTAACTTGTTGGAAAAAAAAGTCCTACTGGTTGGTTGCTTGATAGTTTAAACATAGTAAACATAATATCATACCATTTTTTTAAAAAGCTATCTACTTGCTTTTATGAGATAATTAGCTTTATATATATATAAAATATGTATCTATATATATAATATATACTTATATATATTATATTATATTTTATGTTTTATATTTATTTTTTTTGGGGGGGGGCGATGTAGTGAGGGAGAGAGAAGTAGGAGGTGGAAAAGAAGACCACGAGGCACACGAGGCAGACTCCCGACATTGTTTTTCACTCAGCTGTAGATGAACACCACTAAATTCTTTATGAGGACCAAATACTGAGCACTTCTCCTTCCCTGTAACACTTTCCAAACTCTGATAGCCCCAACCCCAAGGACTAGTAAACAAAAGGCCCAAGCTACCTGCTGCAGTCACAATTTCTTCGAGATGTGTGGCTTTAACATAAAAATGTATAAGCATTTTTGCATTTTCTCTGTGATATTGATTCAGCAAATATTTATCATACCCTGTTGTGTACCAGGCCCAATTCTAGCAACTAAAATGTAACAGAAAAATCAAAGTAAATTCTCTTTTGAACCTTACAACATACTTATGTTAGTGTATCATTAAAACTAGTTTTAGGGACCAGCTGGTAGTGTGGTGAGGGCAGCTGGGTCCCACATGGCCAGTTGCGCAGTTTGAGTCCTGGACTGTGTAGCTTGAAAAACTCATCAGGCAAGTGTGCATGTGTGCCCAAAATCCTGAAAGGAAGGAGAGATGGAGAAGGGATTGTCACGTGAACATCCCCAAGGGGGAGGTGCTTTCTCACCTCCCCTCGCTCTCTCATTCTCTCTGTCTCTCTCTGGTGAGCCCAAGCACCCTGGCAAGTTAGAAAAAGAAAAGCAAAAACAGCTAATTTTCTTAACGGGATGGATAGATAAATATGTGTGCTTGTGTGTGAATTAAAACGTTTTTGGAGGACTGGATGATGGGGTATCGATGAAATGGGAAACAGTGAGGCTGAGCCCCATTAGAAGGTGCCACATTCGTGCCCAGAGAACTTCCTGAGTGCTTGAACCCTGGCCAGCCATGTGGGATCTG